AGCCCAGCTGCGCTATCGGAGCACCAGCACTGGTACCCCCTGGGTGCTGGGGACACAGCGGGACACCAGGAGACATGGACAGGGAAGGATGATCAGCTGCCGCAGCCAGGGATATGGAGTGTGGTACTCAGTGGCTGTGATTGCTGTCCTGGAGCCAAGGGACAGTCCTGCAGCCAGGGCCGAGGGGCTGTGCTGGGGAGAGGCAGGAGCAGGCTCCCACTGAGCATCCGAGCCACCCCATTGCCTCACCAGTGATCCCACAGCTCCTCCTCTGCCCCCCACGGCGAGCGGCTGCAGGAGGGACGCTGTGCAGGGTGTGCAGCAGAGCCAAGGACCTCGCTGCAGCAGGACATGCTGGGTACCAAAAATTTGCAGAGCAACAGGATGGATTTGCAGCACCCACGTACTCACATCCCAGCAGCTGCTGGCAGATGTAAGGGATTGCTGGACGCACAGTCACTTCTAGCACCATTCTGGGGACTCAGCGTTGTCCCACCTCCAGTGACACTGTCACCCACCAGTGTAAGCTCAAGCCCCAGCACAAAGGTCACCCCTACTTCTCCTCAAACCCTGTCGTATGGCCCATATGCTTCCCACCTCCTACCCCAGACACAACCAGAGGCCACAGTAACAAGGTGCCATCTGCCGTGTCCCAGCGGGATGGGACTTTCCAGGCACAGGAGTTGGAGGTGCTGCCCCACAAGGGAGCCATCACTTCGAGCACCTGAAGGTATCGCTGCAATCACAGGAAAAAAAAACAGGCGGTGATGGAGAGGAGGGAGGCTGGGGGAAAGACAGACGGAGAGGTAAAAAAAGGCTCCAAGTCTTTCATCTTAACTGCAAGGACCTGGAGCTCAAGAGCATGGGAGATCAGCACAGAGGCAGAAACAGAAGATTGGTGGGTGTATGAAAGGCTCAGTGCTTTGGGACATGGGGCCGTGCTCTAACACCCCCCAGCCTGGGCTGCCACAGCAGGACCAGAGCAGCCACTCCTCTGCCTCCCCAGCACCCCTCACGTTGCACAAGCACTAATTCCTGTTCCACTTCAGTGGGGTTGCAGCAGACTCTCAGCCCTGTAAATGAGACAAGATTTGTTTCTGAGTGGCTCTGGCTCCTCACGTTTTCTTTTTCTCTCACTCAAATTGCTGGGGTTTTTTTAAATTACATTATTTTTCCTTTACCACAACTACAGGCTGCTCCCAAGAGCCAGCTAAGTGCATCAAACCATTAGCAAATTCTTTCTTCCAATACAAATAAATACACAAAAAGTCTAGTTTCTGTTTACCAAACATCCCTCCCCCATTAATAAATATCAAATCAACTTCTACATAACAAATGACGTGTCCTGGAGCTGTTCATAAGACCCACGGTACCATTTGCCCCCGTATTCGGAAGCAGGAGACGATGCAGCGAGCTTTTATAGCTATCCTTACCTTTTCTCTTGGGACAGGTAAGTTCAAGAGCGACAGAAAAGCTTTGAGGAATTCTGTTCTCACCCATGTAAGAAGGGGTTTGCCTGCATTAAGGATGTTTTTCATATCCTTTTCTGATTCAAGTGTATCTTTTTCCTAGCAGGGGCTGCTCCGGGGTATGCCTGCACGTACTACGATGTTGTCGAGTACCTGAACGTTTCCTCGCACAGCAAGATGCATGCACACATACTGCCCAAGACAAACCCGAAGGAGCCCATGGAAGTGAAGATGGATTTTACGCTGGTGGCTATTCTCTCTGTGGTAAGGACCCAAAGCTCCCGTCGAACCTTTCTAACAGAAAACCAGGCGATTGCTGGACTGGGGTCTGAGCCTCCTGCCAGGCAGGGCTGGGCCAGCAGGGCCACGGGGATGAGAATCAGCCCCTGCCTCCTCGTCAGCTTTCTGCTGTTTGAAAGCAGTTTTGGAAGATTTGGAGTATTTTCTCCCACCTGTTTCCAGGAAAAAGCCCAGAGGCAGGCACAGACGAAGCACCCACGTCACACCAGGCTCCTGCAGGAACCGTGCAGAGTGCCTGGACTGAGCGAGGAAGTTGCAGGGCACTGGCATGGAAATGTTAACAATAAAATGTTTTGTTTTGTTTTTCACACCACTGGATCATATGCTCCCTCTTCTCTTCAGCCGTAGGACCGAGATCCTCAAGCTCTCCTCCCGAGCTGAGTCCCTGCAGCCGGTGCTGTCCCCTGCAAGAACGACACGGGAGAGCCTCTGGGCTCTGCATTGAATGTACCCAAGAAAATCAGCTAAATATCCTCCCTTTTGTTTCTCCAGGTTGAAAAGCTCCAGACGGTCACTTTTTACTTCGTGCTGGACCTGGTAGGTCCCTCCAGAGCATTCCTCTCCTGCGATGCCCAGCACGGCGGCTGGTGCTGAGCCCTGAACTCATTTCTCTCCTGCAACTTCTTCCCCCAGGAGTGGAAAAACCCTTTTGCAACTTGGAACCCACGAGATTTCTGTAACGTTTCCAAAATTGTTCTGCCCATGGGTGCATATTGGTCTCCTTCCATCTTCATCGTAGAGCGGTAGGTTCCCCTTTCGGGTTTTTTTTCACTGGCTTAATAGAAACACCACAGAGGCAGACTGTTGGTACTGTTGTAGGAAATGGGATAAATTCAGTTAAAAGCTGTTCCCATGAGCTATCTGTAACCAAGAACCTCATCGTTTCAATTTATGGTGACCACAGTTGAAGCACTCTGTGGCTCCGCATGACCCCAACACCCCCAGAGATGTCCCGTCTGGGCAGTAGGTAAAGCCGAGGAGGCAGCAGAGACCAGTAATGGCAGGGGATGAAATGACCCGTAGGTTTGCTGTAAGACAGAAGATAGAGCACCATGGGTCCAAGAGAGGGGTGGGCACCCCTCGTCGGGGTGGGGAGGATGGGGAGGCAGCTCTGGGCACAGCAACGAGTCCCTGCCCCTGCTGAGAGTGGAAGGAGTTTCCTTCGGAGGTGCAGAGCTACTGCAAACCTCGGTCCAGAGGCACCCGCCAGCCCTTCGTCAAGCCCCAGGTTCCCTCACAGCTACATCCATGGCTTGGAGCCCCCCGAAAGAGTGCTCCCAGCTTGGGATTTGTGGGACCGAGGAGCATTGCGGTGTCCTGGAGCTCGGTTGCTCTGCACCTTTGTTTCCTCCAGAGTGAACGGACAAAATCCCAACCCGGATTACATGACCGTCACGTACAACGGTGTCTTCTATGCCACCCAGCCCTTCCAGGCCACCTTAACGTGCAGCTTGATGATCTTCAAGTTTCCTTTTGACACCCAGATGTGCAACTTGAGCATCACTTCCTTACTCTACCCAGGTACAGCCCCAAGCTGACATTTACCCAGACTGGGATCAACTTGTGGAACAGGCGAGATGGCCCCTGGCTAACCGCGGGGTTCCCTCAGCAGCACCAACGCTCGCAGCTGGTTAGGGGGCTTGAGGTCACGTAACACCAGGGAAAATGAGCTAAAACACTGACATACTGGTTTGGCATGTGTCCCAGCAACATCTCTGGAAGCATCTGCGTGTTCTATGACAATCCCCACCCCCCAGGGACTGGTCTCCACAAGCCAAGAGACCGGCAGGCTTCCTGTTCACGCAGGATTTTGCAGGACTGGTCTTTAAACACATCCAAAAGCCAGGAAAATTAAGGAGGAGAGGAAATTAAGGACAGATTTGGGGATCCAAACAGCAGTCAGAGTTCATCCCAACTAGAAGGGCTGAAAAATAAGCAGAGGTGACACGAAACCCCCCAGCCCCCATCTGCAAAGAACATCTGTCCTAACTCAGCCGATCTCCCCTCTGAGCCACAGCCCCAGAGGTCCCAGCCAGGTCTCTTCACCAGAGTCCTCTTTAACTTCTCCCTGATGGGCTGAGAAACCCCAGCAGTGCAAGAAACGTCACCTTTCCCCATCTGTACTCATCCTTGGTTGGGAGGGAAAGGGAGAGGAAATAACTGACCCGTAACAAATACCTAAATTCTGCGACTCCTCTCCCCCTCTCAATCCTACCCAAGCAGTAACAGACCTGGTCTTGAAGAGAAGAGGGACACCAGCTGAGCTAATGAAACACAGCCAGAGCTACTTCCTAACTGACGGGGAGTGGAAGTTCACCAACCTGAACATCATTGAATACACAGAAAATCTGGACAATGGAGAATATTCTGTGGTCACCTACAAGGTATGGCAGTACTTTCATATTATACTGCACTGATTTGCCACCAAAAAGAAAAATACAAAATGACATAGTTTTCCACATTAGGGAAAAAAGCATTCACCCAACAGAGTACGTTAGCTCCTGCTCACCTAAATGTTGTCCATCTTCTTCAACAGATTTCCCTGGAGAGACGACCCACTCTGTACGTTCTGAACCTGATCCTGCCAACTTGCGCCCTGTACCTGCTGGACATGGCCGTGTTGTTTGGACCCAGCTCTCTCGAGGACAAAATCAATTTCCAGATTGCCATCATCCTCGGCAGCTCCATGTTAGCTGTGATTCTCAACAACATCCTTCCAACTTCCTCGGAAAAACCACCCATAATAGGTACCCATCTTTATTGAATAAAAACAGATTTTTACCCAAGGATGACCTCTAAGGGAGGTCTTTGGGCATTTACATTCACGAACGGCTACACTTTAGCAGCCTGCTGGAGTCAGAAATTTCCCCCTTTCCCCAAAAGGCAACTGACCGCTGTCAGGATTGCAGATCCAACAAAACGATGCCCCTGATCAAGGGCTTTCCCTTGTGTCCATGTTGTTCTGCAGTGGTATTCTTCCTGGGCACCTTCCTGCTCATGATCATGGCTGTGTTAGACACCCTCTTCCTCTTGCACCAGCGGCACAAATCCCCAGGCTTGGACAAGGCTCTGGGAGGTTTCCAGCGAGGTAAAGCCACCCCTAACCTCTGAAACAAGCAGCTCGGGTGACCTGCACGTCACTGCAGGTTCCTTTGAGGGAGGCTGGGTTTCCCCAGGCAGGAGCAGCAGGGGCTGTCACCCACCAACTCTGCCACGCCTGACACATGCTATTTGCTCTTTGCAGACGAGCATATCGAGCTGGCGACACGAGCCATGAACAACCAGCCCGTGGAACATCTTGCCAAGGAAGGCGCTCAGCAAATGCGGACCCGGCCAAGGACGCCCCAGAAAAAAGGCCAGCCAGTCGAGCCCCCCTGGAAACCGCAGCAGCAGGACCCATTTCTGCCAGTTCTGGAGAAGGTGCTTCTCTACGGTCACTTCTTCCTGTCCCTGTTCTTTTTTGCCATTATTTCTATAAAATGGAGCACCTAAAGACCAGCTCTGCACAGTGCTCCTTCACTTGTTCTCCATTCTATTGCTTCCAGCCCCACACTGTGATTTTTTTTTCCTGCTTGATTCGTAGAGCTGCAGTTGTTTCAGTTGCCCAAATGAAAAAATAAAATTAAAAATAAACCAACCACCACAGGCCATGAGACCTGCATGCTTAGTGCTTCGTACACTAGTTCAGTAAACCTACAAACTTTCTTAAGAGTATTCTGTGGGCTAGCAAAGTACTCGAATAAAATGGTTGTGGAATTGGGGGATAAGGCCCTTCGATCTGTCCATCAGGAATTCTTACCACAAACATGACCACCAGAAACAGGAGTTAAGGCTTTTTCTCTTACAGAGATGTTTCCATTCTGGGGAAAGGTGTTTAAGAATTCCACTTCAGATAATGAAATAAAACAATGCAAGTCTGAAGCGTTTGTAGTATTGTTTCTGTGAGTTTCAGGGAGTTCTGTACCACTCAGAAACCCAGGACAGAGACAGCAATAGGATCACCAGGATTAAAGGTGTGATGCTTGGGATGTCTTGAAAAAATTTAAAAGTAACTTTTTTTTAGATGTATCTCAATGCATCTACACTCCCTTTGCAACTGGCTACACCTAAACCATCACAACCAATCTAGAAACCAGCCCTAGACCTCTGCCTGCTGAACCACCAAGACATATCTCCCACAAAAACAAGCTCACAGGTAGAAAAGACAAAATCCAGAAAAACCGGGCTGTTTGCAAGTCAGTGTATTGTTCCACGTGTCTCAAAACCTTGCAACCTCATGTCTAAGGTCTAAGCCGCAAACAGGAGGGAAAGCACTTTATTTAAAAGATCACAGAGTCTGCCAGTGGTTAGACAAACTGCTTCCAGACCAGTTTACAGATCAGCAATCGGTTTGTGGGGCCAGTAGGGATATTTATCCTTGTCCAGTCTGGTTTCAGGGAAGACTTCATGCAAGTCTTCAAACGTCATCTGTTCAAAGGGAATCATGCTTCTGAGCTTCTGAAGCTGGAAGCGGAGAGAAACAAGTACAAGTCATTTGTAAGCAAGAAAGAGCGAAGCACACACAAGAACAAGGTGTGTGCCAGGCTGGGTTAAAGAAAATACTCACTAAGCAAAGTCCAGACTCACCTGTTGCTCATACTCGGCAATCCGAGCCTTGGAAGCCTGCACATACTCAGCCGTCGTCTTTGCCTGCAGGAAAGCAGAGGACGTGGTGAATATGGTTACGAGAAAGACAGTGACGCAGAGTGAACCTGCAACCCAATGCTTTAAGTCGGCATTTAAATTCATCATCATCACACTGGGTAAGTGGACAGAATCTTGATCAAATCCCAAACAGCCAAACCCTTCCACGTGCAGAGATCTTCTTGTTTAGCCAAAAGCCTGAGACACATGCGAAGACCAGAGCTGTGCTGGCTCAGGCTGCCCTGCCTGTGCACATGCACAGAGCGTCTCCTCCCTCTCGCCCCTTCCCATCGTCACAAAAGTCAGAGACAACCCCGGCATCAGGAAACAGTTTAAACACTTACAGCTTCCTTCTCTTGGGCATCAATTTTGGCAGTTTGTGTGTCCACTGGCTCAGGAATCTTTAGGGCACTGAACTGCAAACCGAAAGAGAAATTTTTTTATCCCTATTTTTGTTTGAAATAATCCTTCACACCAAGGCCATTTTCCCTAGCAGCAGGGGAGCATGCCTTCCTTTCTTCCTAGGAGATGCTCGCAACAGTTGAAGTCAACAAGCTCTCTAAAACTGACCACTGCAGCTTGACTGTGTCCTTCACAAGCAGCACAGCTCACCCGCCAGCGTAACACAATCTGTTCTGTGCTGCACACCGCCCCCAGGACACCTAACAGCGCACACACTTGTCACAGCGGGCAAAGCACAGCACTGTAAGGAAGCAAGGAGCTCTAACACCGAAGACTTATCACATCACAGATTTACTTCCCCCAAGACAAGGCTCACAGATCCCTCTGAGGTCAGCGGGCCCTCCCAGTCTCAGGAGGCCAGTTTTCATAACCCCTGTGACACCAGGTGTCCTTCAGGAAAGGGCAACCCCCACAGGCTTTACACGTTTCACAGCGGGCAGAGCCACACTCACCACCTTCTTCCATCCAGTGAGTTAGATAAATACTTTGAACGGCTGCTTCAGGAGAGTCACTACCTGAGAATTCACTCCTGCAGCCAAAATAATTCAAGTCTTCCTTCACCAACTTTCTCACCATGCAGCGCCACAGATTTCCTCCTGAAAGATGGCACTGAAGTGACCTCCTCGAGGTTAGCGACACTGATCTGCAGGATGTGAAGCTGGGGCATCCGCTAACCAAAAGCAACCTCCTCTGCCAATTCTGGCGTTTTCCTCTCAACACCAAAGACACTCCCCATTTAAACCTCCAAGAACAGCAACACCCAGCTGGCTAAGATACCGACCTTCTTCTGAAACTCGTCCACCATGCCAGCTTTAGCAACAGCAGCCTTGTAATGAGCCCAGTCGATGGTCGGGGGTTTCTCTGGCAGGGCGGCCAACCTGAAGAGACAGAGGAGAGCTGTCACGACGAGGAGAGCTGTCACGACCAGTGCTAGAAGCAGCCTTGCGCCAGCATTTGCCCTCTGCCACAGTTACTTTCCAGAGTGTCACCAGAGCCTGCTAAGTTTAGTTTAAACATCTTCAGATCTGCCATGATCAAGCAGTGAGGAACCAACTCTGCACATCCCCTTATGAGGAAAGGCTGAGGGAGCTGGGTGCCTTTAGCTTGGAAAAGAGGAGACTGAGGGGTGACCTAATCAATGTTTATAAATATGTAAAGGGAGAGTGTCAGGAGGATGGAGCCAGGCTCTTCTCTGTGACATCCAGTGATAGGACAAGGGGCAATGGGTTCAAGCTGGAACATAGGAGGTTTCACTTGAATATGAGAAAAAAACGTCTTTACAGTGCAGGTGACAGAGCACTGGAACAGCCTTCCCAGAGAGGTTGTGGAGTCTCCTTCTCTGGAGACATTCAAAGCCTGCCTGGATGCGCTCCTGTATGATCTGATCTAGGTGTTCCTGCTCCGGCAAGGGGATTGGACTAGATGATCTTTCGAGGTCCCTTCCAATCTCTAACATTCTGTGATTCCATGATCCCTCCGTCCTTGAAACAAACTCCTCTACACGGACAAGAACTCAGCCTGCAGCCCTGCTCCACTTCAAACTACTACAAAGCCCCTCCAGGCGCCGCTCCGTAAGGAAAGATGAGGCAGTTTCCACAGCACTGAGCTAGAGGCAAGGAGCAACATCAACTGCAATAGCCAACAACATTTATATCAAGCAGTAGATGCTGAAGCATTTGAGAAGACTCATGAATTTGTGCAGCATTTAACAGAATAACAAAGTTTGCAAAATGTTTTGAATGCACTAAAGCAAAAACCTTTCACAGAATTGTTTTTTTATGCTACAGCCCTTGTCTTACTCTGGGGAAGATTAAGTAAGGATGATTTGCCAAAAAAAAGCCACCAGCTGTCTTGAAGGTGACCTGCTTTCATGACTTTCAGGACACTTCTGCAAGACCACGGTTACCAACACTGGCTCGAGGCAGCAGAACCGCCCCACAGGCGGGGGCCAGGCAGACACTCACCGTGCCGACAGCGCATCGCTGCGGGTCTTCAGGGCATTGAACATGGCCTTCTGGTTGGGGGGCACCCTCTCGGCGAAGGCCGCCCAGTCGATGGCCTTGATGGCAGCTCTGCGGCCCGCCATGGCTCCAGCCTGCGCTCAGGAGAGATGACAGCAGGAGAGGTGGCACCAGGAGAGGTGGCACCAGGAGAGGGGACTCCAGGAAGGTCACACCGAGGGGGA